TTCCTTCGTTCCTTCAGTTTGTTCTTGGTATCAAGAATCAAACTCAGGACCTTGTGTTTGCCAGGCAGGCACTGTCCCACTGAGCTTTCTTCCCAGCTGCCTTTGCATTTTCTGATGTCCTTTTTGATCTTTTTTTTTTTTTTTTTTTTTTTTTTCCAGAAAACTATCGTTTTTGTTGTAGGGGCTGTTTACTTTCCTGGTTAGATTAATTTCTAAGTATTTTTACTTTTGATGCTATTTTGAATGGTAGTGTTTCCCTAATTTCTTTCCTGGTGAGTTCATTATTGGTGTATAGGAATGCTGTTGATTTTAGTAGCCAGAGACATTGCTGAATTCGGTTATCGAAGGAATTTTTGGTGGAATTTTTTGAGTCTTGTATATAAAGAATAGTGTTATCTCCAAAAAGCAATTATTTTACTTTCTTCCTTTTCCATATGTATCATTTTTATTTCTTTCTCTTGCCTGATTGCTTTGGCTGATGTTTCAAGTATTATATTGAATAGGAGTGGTAATATGGACATCTGTGTCTTGTACCTGATTTTAGAGGGAAAGTTTTCAGCTTTTCCCCATTTAATATGATGTCAGGTGCTGGTCTGTCATAAATGACTTTTATCAGATTAAGATAATGTCCTTCTATATCTATTTTCTTCAGTGTTTTAATTATGCATGGATGTTGGATTTTGTCAGAAATCTTTTCTGTATCTATTGAGATGATTATGTGATTTTGTCTTCCTTAGTTCTGTTTGTGATGTGTTATATTTGTTGATTTGTATCTCTTGAACCATCCTTGTATCCTTGGGATGAAGCCTGCTTGGTTATGCTGTATGACATGATTTGTTGCATTGTGTTTGCCAGTATATTGTGGATTTTTGTGTGGGTCCTTTAAAGAGATTGGACTGTCGTTTTGCTTTTTAGTTGAGTCCTTGTCTGGCATCAGGGTGATGCTGGCTTTCTTAAATGAATTTTGAGGTACTTTCCTTTCAATTTCAACAGAGTTTAATGTTATATTCTCCTAGAAGTTCTTGTATTATTCATTGGGCTTTTCTTAGTTGGTAATTTTTTATTACTGCCTCAATTTCATTGCCTGTTATTAGATTGTTCAGAGTTTTTATGTCTTTCTGGTTCAGTTTTGGTAATTCACATGTGTCTAGTAATCTATTTCTTCAGGATTGTCCAATTTGTTGGAGCATAATTTTTCATAGTACATAGATCAGTCTTCTGGATTTTAGCATTCTCAACATTGTGACTTTATTTCTTTCTTTTTTTTTGTCTTTTTTTGAGACAGAGTCTTGCTGTGCAATTCAGGCCTTGAGCTCACTTTGTAGCCCAGGCTGGTCTCGAACTCATAACAATCCTCCTGCCTCAGCCTCCCAAGTGCTGGGATTACAGGTGTGTGCCATCACACCCGGCTGCTTCATTTTTTTCGTTTCCAGTTGGCATTAGTGTTAGCCTTTTCATTCTTTGTTTTGGTAGGTTTGCCTAAAGGTTTATTGTGTTTATTGTTTGAAGAATCAGCTCTTTGATTACCAGATTCAAGTGTGCAAAACTTGCTCGGTAATCAGAATGAGTGATCTGAAAACAACACTGTGCAGTATAAGAACCATTGTTGAACTCCTACCATCTTGTATGGTGAAGCTCTGCATCATTTCCAGTAGGTTTTTTTTTTTTTTTAATTGTTACAGTCTTTGATTGTTTGATCAGTCTTACATTCTTATGTCTGGTGGACTGAGCAACTTGGTTGAAGGTAACAGTATGTACTGTGGCAACCATTGTTAATTTCTGTCATTTTGTTTTGAGGTCATGTATTGTTTTTACGTTGTTTTGATTTTGTCTTCATTGTTATTTTGTTTTTTTAATTTTTAAAATTAAAAAAAAGAATCAGCTCTTTGATTCATTGATTCCTTGTATTTTTTTAAAAGTATCAATTTTGTTAATTTCTCCTCTGATGTACATAATTTCCTTCTTTGTACTATGGGTTTGCTGTTTTTGTTTTTCTACTGTCTTGAGGTACATAATTAGGTTATTTATTTGACCTTGTTCTGTTTTCCTAATGTGAGCATTCACAGCAATAAACTTGCCTGTTAGAATTGCTTTGTGCCCCATAGGTTCTGGCATGTTGTACTGGTGTTATTTTTTGATTATTTTGTTTCTTCCTTGATTTCCTCTGTGACCCATTGCATGTTCAGGAGTGTGTTATTTAATGTCTAGGTGTTTGTTTGGAGATTTTAGCAGGGGAGCACAGCTCCTCATACCCTTGACCAAGGACTGGTCCCCTCTATCAGCTCCTCTTCGATGGAGCACACAGCTTTGGGAGGGATGTGCATGGAACGTTGAGGGAGGAAGGGGACACTGTCTAGGCAGCCGGATCAGCCAAATCAACCCAGGCGATCAGTGGGCTGACAGATGTTGCAGCCAGATCGCCATCCATGTCCAGGTGTTTGTAAAATTTCTGTGCTTTCTTTTGTGATTGATTTCTACTTTTAGTGGGTAATGATCTGATAGTATCGATGACATTGTTTCAGTTCTTTGGTGTTTAAGCAAGCTTTATAGACTAGTAAGTGGTCTGTTTTGGAGAACGTTTTGTGTGCTGGTGAAAAGAATGTGCTATTTTTTGTTTTTTTGAGACAGAGTCTTATATTTCAGGTTGGACTTAAAGTCAGTAAGTAGCCTGGGGTGGCCTCAAACTCAGAGCAATCCTCCTGCCTCTGTCTCCCAAGTGCTGGGATTATAGGCATGCGCCACCACACTTGGCAAATGTGCATTCTTTTGTAGTAGAGTAGAATATTCTGTAGATATCTTAAGTCCATGTGTGTGAAGGTCTAGTTCAGTTTTGATATTTCTTTTTTTTGTTTGTTCAGTTGATTTGTTTGTGGAAGTGAGGTGTTAAAGTTGTCCACTATGATTGTGTTGATGTTTATTTGATCTTTATTGTTTAGTATTGTTTGTTTTATGAAGTTTTGGACTTCATAAAAGTTAATTCTTCATAATTGTTAATTCTTCCTGTTAAATTACTCCCTTACCTAATATGTAGTGACCTTCTTTACCTCGTCTGATCAATTTTAGCTTGAATTTTACTTTGTCTGCGAATAAAATTGCTACTCTTGCTAGTTTGAGGAGTCCTTGTTTATGTAGTGTTTCCCATTGTTTTTAGTCTATGAAATTTTATATTATTTTATTTTAGGAATTAGGTGAATCTTTTGAATGCAACAGCTTGATGTATTCTGCTTTTTGATCTGGTTTGCTGTGCCCTGTCTTAATTAGGGTGTTGAGGCCATTTACATTGAGAGTTATTACTGAAAGGTATTGACTTAATCCTTTGTGTTCTTTCATAGTTGTTGGCTCCTTTATTTTCCCTTCTTGTTTAATTACTTCCCTTGCTTGATATATTCATTCCATCTGATTTTTCTGGCTTGTCTCTGTCTAGGATATTCTTGAGGTTTTTGGAGGGAGTGCTGATTTGGTGTTTTTGAATCTCTCAAGGTGTTCTTTGTTGTGGAATGTCTTTATTTCATCAATTTTGAAAGGTATTAATGTTGGAAGTTGATGCCCCCCCATGACCCTTGACAGAAAACAAGCCAGGAGCCCAAAGTACACAACTCACAGGCATGGTGATCTCCCAGTCTGGCCCAGCAGCTCAAACAACAGATACCATAGGAATTGATTTTGAAATCAGAATGATAGAACTAGATGGAAAGAAAATTGAGAAAATTAAGCTTCAGGTATGGGACACAGCAGGTCAGGAAAGATTCTGAACAATCATGACTGCTTACTGTAGAGGAGCTGTGGGGATTATGCTGGTCTGTGACATCACAAATGAAAAATCCTTGACAGTATTAAGAACTGGATAAGAAACATTGAAGAGCATGCCTCTTCAGATGTTAAAAGAACGATCCTGGGTAACAAATGTGATATGAATGACAAACGACAAGTGTCG